TAGTGAGAGAATAAATTAAATCATGAACTTTGCCATGGTCTCTGTCCCTAGTAGTTTTCATTAAGTTCTGGAAATAATGAAAGTCATGAACTTTGCCATGGTCTCTGTCCCTAGTAGTTTTCATTAAGTTCTGGAAATAATGAAAGTCATGAACTTTGCCATGGTCTCTGTCCCTAGTAGTTTTCATTATCTCACAGAGTTAATGAAAGTCATACTTTCTATCAGATGAAGCATGCAGATGAACATAATGAAAGTTAGTGAGTTTGCCACGAGTTATGAATAAAATATTGGCATACTAGATGAGATCGTTGATGAAACAGATGAAGATAAATTAAATCTTGGACTTTGCCACACTCTGTCCCTAGTTCCTCAAAATCCTTGACAACGTTGCTTAGAAATTTTGGTTCAAAACCTCATCTGATTTTAATCTGTTATGCTACCTGTTAAGTTTCGCGAGATTATAAATGTCATGGAGTTATATAAAAAGGAGGGACAGCTAGGGACACTGGAAGTACTTGTAAGGCTATCTGTTAAGATTGCATGAAATACTAAAAGTCATGAAATCCATTATCGCTGTGCTAGCTTCACCTTTGATTGAAATGACGACTAAAGTCACTGAAGCAATGAAACAAAAGTTTTTGGTAGAATACATTAAATCAGGAGCGGTTCCAGAAGGTTTTTACGTTCATACTATGAAGGATGGTAGAGTTCAGTTTAGAAAGATAAAGCAACCATTAGATAGAGAAGGAATTTTGAGAAAGATTAAACTTCATGAGGACAACATTGCTGAACTTAAGAAGAAGTTAGAAGAGTTGGAGAAAGGAAGAGAGTTATAAAGCAATGAATTCATGAGGTGAAAAAAGAGGTGAAAAAAGAGGTGAGATTTCACCACTTCACCTAAATTTATTTTTTCACCTCTGACAACGTTTATTTTTAAGTTTATTTTTAAGTTTATTTTTAAGTTTATTTTTATATAAATGACGAAAACTATTGAGATAACAAACTACAACGGTCATGAGTTCAAGAATTTGTTCTTTGTTCCTCGTGAAAATACATTCTATCAGATACGAGGGAGAAAGGGTAAAGTTAGTTTAAGCATTTATGAAGGAATGAAGAATGGAAAGTTTATACAAGCATACGATACAAACGGTAAACGTGTTTCATTAGCTTTGTCAAAACTTACTAACATTTATTTTGACAGTAACTTTGACCTATATGAAGAAGAAAGTGAGTCAGAAGAATATGAACTGTTATGTGAAGCACAGCAATGGGAGGAGTTGCAATACTTTTGTAAGTGAGAACGTTTATTTTTTACATTAGTGAAGTCGTTTGTGAAAACGTTTATTTTTTCATTAGTGAGGTGAAGTGGTTGGCGGCTTTATAAATATTTAAGGTTAAGTTGGTGTTTGTGTTTGTGTTGTAAAATATACATTAACGGTTTCGTAAAGTGTCAAAACCGCTAAGTTGTGTACGGAGGCGCGCAGTGCCACAGTACACGACTTAACCATACTAACTAATATACATCTGCTTCATTAAATGTAAAACCTGACTTCTTTGCAGAGATGACTTTAAAATCTATTGAGTTTGTTTCAAAATTATATGCTATGGTAACTTCTGAAGGTAATGGATGTCCTTCCGCAGTAAGTTGTTCTCTCACTACCGTTTGAAGCTTTGTATTAAAAACTTTCATGTCATCTCCTGTATCTAAGTTCACATACACAGCAACAGGGAAACTATCTTGCTTCTTTGTTTCATCATTATATCTCAAAACATTAAAGTTCTTCAATAATATTGTTCTTCCTGCTGGAATACTTCGAACCTGTCTTATTTCAATAGCTTTCTCACCTCCTACATACTCTACCCAGTGTCTTGGATATTCATAAGTATACTGACTTTCTTGAATTTTGGTTGGTTTCATCATAACATGTTCATAGTATATCTTTATACTCTTGTCAGTTAGACTCGGTGCTATGTTCTGAATATTTCTGACTTGCATTTTTAATGGAGATAAAATGAAGCATTTAATACATGACGTAGATGAAGACATGAATGAAACTACAGACAAGCTCAACAGTTCTCTCATTCTTCCTTTCAGCAAAGATTATGAATTCTGTTCAAATGGTGTGTATTTCTATTGTGGAAAGATGGGGTCAGGAAAGACATTCAACCTCATTCGTTATATACTCATAACAGAGCGTTTAGGAAACAACTCTTACTATGACCAAATCATTATATCAGCAACTTCAGACTCTATGGACTCAACAGCGAAAACATTTATGTCAAAAGTTCAAGCCTCTGTCGTTAAAGTTCCAGACAGTGAACTCATTGAATTTCTTCAACGTTACATTCGACGTAAGAGGAAATATTATGCCATCGTTGAATTTATACAGTCAGGAATGCAAAAGACTTCTGAAGAGATGGAAAGAATTATTGACAAACACCACTTACGTCAATACTCAGGAGTTTACGATATGAAACGACTTACAAACTACATTCTGTCAAAACTTTCAAAATACCCCTTCAAAAAATATCCTTCAAACACTCTGCTCGTTTGCGACGACTTCGCCGGAAAAGGTTTAGTTTCAAAACCAGACTCACCATTAGCTAACATCATTACTAAAGTCAGACATTACCACTTAACTGTAGCAATACTTATGCAAACATGGTGTTTTCTTGCTTTAAACATAAAACGTCTCATAACTGACTTCGTTATCTTTCAAGGTTTCTCACGTTATGATATTGAACTCATTTGGAAACAGTCAGGTATAACATTACCTTTTGAAGAAATTTGGGAAGCATATAAGTCTCTCATCTCTCCTCATTCATACCTTGAGATTCATATCATGACTAATACCATTAAAGTCAAAAATATTCCATGGGAACGACCAACATTGTTTTAAAGTTTAACCTTCAATTGACTGATGGTAAACAAATTCCATGCATCTCTGTCGCCATTTCTGTTAATATTTTTGCTGTCATTCATATCATCCACTTCCCCATCCGTTAGCTTTTGAGGATATGCGTTAGAATAGCTGTTCTTAAATGAAGGCTTTTCACCTTTGAGAGCATAAACTCTATAACTTTCTGCATACTTTATGTTTGAACCTCCTGAGCCATCATTGACATAAATTTTTATAGGCTTCCACCCTTTGTTCATGTTCCTGCTTCTTCCCTTAGCTCTTTTGTTCAGTAGTTCTACATCTTTATACACAGCACCTGTCTCAGTGAATTCAACAATATTTTCATTCGTTAGCTTTACATTCAAACCCTTGTCGAGTATATTGTTCATTTCATACATATAAAAGGTTTTTATTCTATATGAAATGAGAAGCAAATCCATCTTAGCTGGTGCCGTTAATGTTCCAATTGAACCAACATCAAATGTTGACTCACGAACGACAAACAATATTGTCATAAAGAACTATAGTTCGGAGTGTTTGAAAGAAAAAGAACCAGATCTTAAGTCGGGACCTTCGGTCTTGGAGCATGGCGCCGTGAATTTAAACTCAGCTTCAAACGCTAACGCTACATCAGATGTTAAGTTAGAGTATCCACCATTAGACCAAATTCTTTCAAGAGAAGCCAACGACAATCCTTACACAAATGTTCAAACAAATCCTTCAGATAACGTAGACCATTACCTTCTTCAGTTATACCAAACTATCTTACTCAAACACGATAAGAAGCTTTTGGTAAATCTTATAAGTAAGAACCAAATAATTCTAACAAAGGAGGACCTTGAAAATGTTATCTCACGAATAACAGGAAAGCAATGTGTCATTGACTATCTCGACCCTGAAATCGAATGCTGTGGTCAAACTCCACTATTCATGAAAATAGGTAATATTAGAATAATCGAAACACCAGGAACTACAGGAGTTGAGTTTAAGTATAAATATTCGAACGAGTATACAAAACTATCTACTGACTATAAGCTTTGTTTGAAATATGTTTTAGTAAATTAAAGCAGTCAGGACCCTCGGTCTTGGCGCTTTGCGCCGTCAGTCAAAAAATTTCAAGTTAGCAATTTGTAATATCTATCCAAAACTTCTTCAACAGTATCGAACTCATCTTCATAATGCAAACCTAATCTTATTGACTTGGTGCAGTTTTCACTAACACAATATTTTTCTGTTCTCTTGACTGACATAACTAATTCATTTGTTTCATCAAACAGCAACAACCAAAGTGCATGACCTAATACATAACATTCATACTTTATATTTTTAGCTCTGAGTTCTCTTGTAAGCTGTTGCATTTAATATTTTCTAAAAAGTCAACTTCAACAGTCATTCGCACTGGTGCCTTCAGTTCTACAGGCTCTCCTTGAAAGTCAACATGTCTGAATTGCATGTCTTTCAAATTATGAGGACTAATGCGAACCCATTTACCTAAATGAGTTGCTATGACAGGAACGTTTGGAATGAACATTGAATTTACTTCATAACAGAAAGACTTATATTCTACTGAACCTTTACTATTAACTCCTGAAATGCCTGTGACATTAGCTATTTTAGACTCAATGTACAAACAATTGCCATAACATACATATGGAACAGATTTCATCTCAATCGTTTTGTCAACACTTTTCAAAGGAAATGTCATATGGTATGCTCCCAGAAGCAATTGAACTCTATGACTCATTCGTGTTATCTTAAACTCCTTCGCATAACTGAACTTCAATGTTCCCTCAGAAGAGAGTTCGACATCTATGTTGTCAATAGTTTCTTCATTTATGAGAGTATTTATGACTCCAGCAATTTTATCTATTCTGTACTCGGCTCTGTTAGGAAATGTTATAACACTTCTTTTGTCATCTATTTCAATCTCTATGAAATCTGTTTCATCTGTTATGACAAAAGTTGCGATAGTATTGAAGTCAACAACTCTGAAAGCAAGTGCTTCATTCTGAAGACCTAAGTTTGTTTGTAGCTTTACTGTCCCGTATTCGTTTGGGTCTGTACTTTGCAAATAGAACAACATTTTATTCTCATTAAAATATGACTATTGCTGCATATGCGTATGAAACAAATGAAGCAAGAAGAGCACTTGAACTAGTAAACGAAAACTCAACTTTAACCATTGAAGGCAATGATTTAGTCATTGACGATGGAAAAACTAAAAAAGTCATTGATTTCGATACTTTTAACACTTATGACCCATTCATTACAATAAGTAAAGTTCCTATCATAAATGATGGAACGGTGCAATATATAAATTCTACAGTAGATGCCTCATTAGTGAAAGTATTAAATGTTCTCATTGAATTGTTAAAGAGCTTTCGATTTGACGACAACATTAAATGCCTAAAGAATTTAGTCATGAATGAAAAACAAATTCTCGGCGTTGCTGGTAGCAGTAATGATGTACACCTTATGACATTAGAATATTATAACGAACATAAAGATGAACTGAAAGGAGAGAAGGGTGACACCGGACCCCAAGGACCACAAGGAATACAAGGAATACAAGGACCTCAAGGCGAAAACGGTTTGGATGGTGAAGATGGAAAGGATGGAAAAACTGCTAAATCATGGATATGGAACCTTATAAATACTGGTTTAACAGCTGCTTCATATGGAGTTCTTCAATACCAAATCGGAAAGATATGGGCAGTACTTGGTGAAGAAGTTTTAGATGACGTTAAAAATGCTTTGAACTTCATTTCAAATGGTTCGGATACTATTAAAACTTTATCTGGTTGGATGCAAGAAACAAGGAGTCAAATAGATACTGTAAGACGTATAGCAAACAATGCACGTACGGGATTGGATACTTTACGAGAAGCACAAAATACACTAAAGGAAGCAAATGATATTCTTGGCTCAGTATCAGACATGCATGAAGATTGGCTTAAAGGTATTGACAAATCTTTAAAAAATCACAGTCAGTCTATTGCTGACTACAAGAAAAGTATAGATTTTTTACATAGTGCTATGGACGTATATGATGGAAGCATAAGGAACTTACTTAATGCTAACAATAACTTACCAGGAACTATTAAAGCATTTATAAAGTCCTTTGTAAAACCTGGTGCTCTAACATTTAGGTCTTTGAGAGCAAGAGCATTGAAGTCAAGAGATGCAGAAACTCCAACAGAACCTACAGAAGGAACTGAAACAACAGAAACTCCAGAAGAACCACCAAAACCAACAGCTAATGAAATATTGTTCGAATATTTTCCAAGGTACTCTGTTCTCATTGCATACATTCAAGAAATACTTAAGAAAGCAGACTTGACTTTAGGAGATGATGAAAGTTCTGTATATCTTTCGTTCCAGTTTCAAATAGCAGAACTTTTGAGACAGATATGCTTAATGTATGACAACATCTCTGATTTCACAAGATATGATGACGACCATGACCCCGAACACGGTGAAGAAGAAGTTTTACAAACATCCATTAAGACAGGAAAGGTTTTAACTCAAAGTCTCATTATTTACACCAAAGATGGCGAAGTGGACGTTCTTCAAGAGCTGAAGAAAAATACTTCTGAAGGAGGTGGTGGTAGGCATGAACTTGAAATAAATGAGATAGAAGAGAAATTAGCCGAAAAAGCAGATAAAAACCATGTTCATTATATAAGTTCAGACGAACAGATTATAACGGACTACTATCATAAGACAAATTACGGAAAGTGAACTCAAACAAAAAGTGACACAATGCATTTGCCAACCAAATAACTTTACAAAGCAAAAACTTAAATTACTTGTCAAGCTTACTATTCTTATTTTAACAATTAAAAAATTAAATTTTATTTTTTATTTAAAAAAATCATCTTATATCATCTGATATATATATAACAGCATTAATATTCAATGATTCACAAATCAACTTTTTCATTATTTTAAATAATTATAGAATATATACCGACTTTTTGTACATAAATATTTTTAGATTCAATAATGATTTACGGTTTTTTTCAAAACTTATAATTTTCAAATGAATGGTATCCGCGAATTTCGGCTTGAAAGTTGGGAAACTTTGTCCGAATGTTAAACTATTCGGACAAAGTTTCCCGCTGTTTGCGAAGGAATTGTTGGCTATGATGTACTGATTCATGATCAGTGCATCATAGCCAACAATTTCTTATACAAAGTTCAAAAACTTGGGTGCAATCAGAACTGATTGCACCCAAGTTTTTGAACTTTCTCGAGGGAATGAAAGGGTAAGAGGTATACATTATGAATATATACCTCTTACCCTTCCATTCCCTCTCTGACAGCGGGAAACTTTGTCTGAATGTTAAACTATTCAGACAAAGTTTCCCGCTGTTTGCGAAGGAATTGTTGGCTATGATGTACTGATTCATGATCAGTGCATCATAGCCAACAATTCCTTATACAAAGTTCAAAAACTTGGGTGCAATCAGAACTGATTGCACCCAAGTTTTTGAACTTTCTCGAGGGAATGAAAGGGTAAGAGGTATACATTATGAATATATACCTCTTACCCTTCCATTCCCTCTCTGACAGCGGGAAACTTTGTCTGAATGTTAAACTATTCAGACAAAGTTTCCCGCTGTTTGCGAAGGAATTGTTGGCTATGATGTACTGATTCATGATCAGTGCATCATAGCCAACAATTCCTTATACAAAGTTCAAAAACTTGGGTGCAATCAGAACTGATTGCACCCAAGTTTTTGAACTTTCTCGAGGGAATGAAAGGTAAGAGATATCCATTTCCTTTCACCTTCGTTCTCAATAATTAACTTATAAATTTTTTAAAGCAAAAAAAGTCTGATTTTTTTTGACAAGTAAATATATAGGGAATTTATCCGACCAAATAAGTGTCACTTTTTCGGTTCACCTCACTTTCCGTAACTCGTCTTACAACACTACCATGGATATTTAACACAGGATGAAGAAGTGAAGACGGAAGATGTTAATGAAAGAAGATATAAATTCATTTGTGCTAAAGGTTATGACATACACTGTACTGTACAGTATGACACAGGTAAAGCACCAGAAGCATTTGGTTATAACGATGAAATTTATGCTTCATACTTCTCTGTTAACGGTGTATTAGTTGAACCAAGATTTACATTGAGAGTTAAGGCAAAAATAACTTTTGAAGATGCTATTAAAAGTAAAGCTGACAAAGATGAACTTGACGCAACGAACAAAGTTTTGAAATCTCATAAACACAATATCTCCGATATAAATGAACTTCAAGCTACATTAAATAGTAAAGCCGACAAGAACCATACACATAAATCCTTCACTACTGTTAGAGCAGACAACATAATATTGAACTATACCCTTGGTTCAAGTGCACCTTTAGAGAATCCAAGTACAAGCGTAAAAGATACACTAAACAATTTAGATAACAGATGTATGAACATTGAAGGTCATGCCAGAAACTTTGAAGCATACGAACTACCAGCAATGTTAGATAAGAAAGCTGACAAGAACCATACACATAAATCCTTCACTACTGTTAGAGCAGACGACATAATATTGAACTATACCCTTGGTTCAAGTGCACCTTTAGAAAATCCGAGTACAAGCGTAAAAGATACACTAAACAATTTAGATAACAGATGTATGAACATTGAAGGTCATGCCAGAAACTTTGAAGCATACGAACTACCAGCAATGTTAGATAAGAAAGCTGACAAAACTTATGTAGATGAAAATTATGCAAAGAAGTCGGAAGTAAATGCTGCGCTTAATGGAAAAGCCGATAAAGAGCACGTGCATGAAGAATTTCAAACAATCAAGATTAAAGAAATTAAAGCATGCATCGAAATAGTAACAAAAACAGGAAGAAATGGTGCAACTGTACAAGAACAAAGAATTTATCCTCCTACTTTTCCTAATGGTTTAATAACAAACAATATAAATATTGAAGATGGCAATAAAGTTATAAACGTTAAACATGAACTTCTAACAATGAAGGCTCAGATTCTTCAAACATTATATCCTGTTGGTTCTATTTATATGTCAATGAATTCAACAAATCCAGAAACAGTTTTAGGTTTTGGTACGTGGAAGCAGATTGTAGATAAATTCTTATACTGTGCTAGATATTCAAAGCAAACAGGAGGTTCGAAGAAAATTAAAGAAGCAAACTTACCCCCACACACTCATACAGGAACGACAAACTTTTCTGGCGACCATAGCCACTCATTAAGAGACCACCCATTATACAACTCAGAGTATGAAGCTGGCAATGACGTTTTATCTCCATCTTATAACAATTCAGCAAAAAAGACTTTTCGACCAACTGAACCAGGAGGAAATCATTCACACACTTTCACAACAAATCCAACAGGCTCGGGTGCAGATTATATGCCACCATTTGTGACTGTATTCGCATGGTACCGCGTTCAATGAACGCGCTTGAGCCTAGAATAAAATCTTTAACTTTACATAAATGAGCTTGAAAGAAGTATTCGAACAACATCCATGGAGGTCATTTAAGAAGTTCAATGAAGCTGCAAAGAGTTGGGGATTTACTAACAGAGCTGAAGTGAAAAGGTTCTTTGACAAAAATGTTGTACATCAAACAAAAATAAACCCTTACGACTACTTTTTACCAATTTACTCCAACGCTCCTGACGCATACCAATTTGACACTCTCATTCAAAGCAGAAAAGGAGGACATAAACCATTCCTCATCTTCATTAATGTTAACACTCGCAAAGCATATGCATATCCAATGAAAAATAAAGGAACTCATGAAGTTTTAAGAGTTTTGCAGACGTTCGTGGCAGAACATAACCCAAGTACTTTAACATCAGACCAAGACAGTGCATACCTCAGCAATGAAATCACAGAATTTCTCATTAAGCATAACATAACTCACTACACTACTGAAGACCATAACCATAACATACTCGGCATCATAAACCGCTTCATAAGAACACTCAGAGATTTAAACCAAGAGCGAGACTTTACCGAAGAAACAATGAAACACTTTCTCGAAGTATATAATTCCTCAACACATTCTACAACAGGACATACACCAAATTCAATGACACAACAACAAGAAGAAAAGTATATACAAAAGAAACGAAGTCAAACACAAAATATCAGAAATTCAACACAATTTACTCTCATTCCTGGTACAAAAGTTCGTGTAGTTCTTGACGACAAACCGTTGACAAAGAAACGTTTAAGGTTAAGTCGAAATTATTATATCGTAGACTCTACGCAAGGTAATGGATATCTTATAAAAGCTGCCGACGACTCTATTGCGTTTTACCCTCGTCATAAATTAGTTGAAAGTAGTAATGGCAAACTTGCTGAAACCATTGACGAAGCAAAGCGAGGAGTGGTTATTGAAATACTTGGCTATAACATAAACGATGACACTTATAAAGTAAGATATGAAGGAGGCGTTGAAGATGTTATACCATCTAAGAACTTGAGAGAGTCAAAGCCAACACATCTGGGACCATTAGAGCGGGAGTACTGGAAAGACAAAAATAAGCCAGAAAGAATAAGAAAATTCTTCTAAACTTTTTCATTTTGTTGCTGAAAAATGACCAAATTTCATGAATTTTCATAAAAGATAAAAATAAAGTTAGTTTTATTTTTATTTATTTTTTTATCTCATATGTAAAGACAGTACTGTCAAACATTGAGTTTGAAACAGTTAGAAAGATTGACAATGACACCAAAGTGGTTAGAATTGGTGATTTAAACGTAAGATACTGTAAGAAATACAACAAATATTCTTTGTCAGACATTATATCTCCATCTGGAAAGAAAACAAACGACTGGGTTAGAAATGCTTCAACTCAGAAAATTTTGACAAGAAATCCTGAGCTCATGATATCAGTAAGATTCTATGGAACTACAGCATATCTCATTGACAAAAGTCTTATACCAATAATTATTCTGTGGATTGACCCTGTTGTTGGATATAACTTCATAACTTATGGTTCATTCGATACGGAACGTTGCAGTGAAGGCTTACTTTACATCGTTCAGAAACCGAAGGACTTCAATACAAAGAGATATAAGATAGGAGGAACATATAATATAACTCAAAGATATGACTCTACCGTCAATAGAGTCAAGGTTGTGTTCGTTAATGATATGAGAGCTGCAGAAACAGAACTACTTGAAAAGTTTGAGAAAATGTATGGTGCTCCCATGAAAGGTAAAGAAACTTTCGAAGTAGATGAGATAGATAAAGCTATAAAATTATTTGACGAAGTTGCTGAAAAATACATGTAAAGCGTTTATTTTTGGTCTTTTGTGAAAGTCAGAAAATAACACTAATTTTTTCCTAACGCTAATTTTTATCCGGAATGTAAAGACAGTAATGTCAACATCAGAGAACACAACAACTGCTATCGTTCATGAAGCCATTAATGAAGAATATGAATACATACAGTATAACAAACAATTGAGACTCATTCGTTCAGTCAAAGATGACATGTACCAAATGCAGAGTATTTTGACAGCATGTTTTGCTCCAGAGAATAAAACACCAAATGAATGGTTTGAATTAAATAGCACTCATGAACTCCTCAGTGAGTTTGAACATGTAGAACTTAAAAAGATGTACCAAGACAGACAAAACTTACCATCACATCTAAAAGGTATATATGTTCATAAGTTCCTAGTTAGTTCAATAGCAATGTGGGCTTGGCCCCGTTATGCAATCTACATACTTATGCTACTTGACGAACTTTGTACAAAGCAGAGAGAAGATATGATGAAAGAAGACAAAAGCATACAGAAAAGAATACCACGTTCGGTACCAAAAGGAAAGGAGAAGAGCTATAAGTATATGATTTACACTGAAGAGTTGGAGAAAGAAGAAGATAAAGATATGGTTATGTTACATTTAGTCAGAAGAAACAACAAGAGCTTTTATGACTTAGCTAAAATATATAAATCTGACAGAAACTGGTTCTATCGTGAAAACTTACCGATTTCAATGACACCGAATGAGCAAATAAAGGAAATTGTCAAAAATACTCTTCCTCAAACACACTATGACATCAAAGGTTGCACAATACTTACATTCAAAGAAGACTTAACATTACTGAAGGAAAAAATAACAGAATATTTCGACAACTTCAAAGAGGAAGAATGAAGTCACGACAACATTAACGAAGAAGTCACGACAACATTAACGAAGAAGTCACGACAACATTAACGAAGAAGTCACGACAACATTAACGAAGAAGTCACGACAACATTAACGAAGAAGTCACGACAACATTAACGAAGAAGTCACGACAACATTAACGAACAGAGAATGTTCTGTTCGTCAAGTTTATTTTGTTTTTACCATTTAATTGTTTCCATAAACGCTCCATGTCGAACATAATTGACGAACAGAGAATGTTCTGTTCGTCAAGTTTATTTTGTTTTTACCATTTAATTGTTTCCATAAACGCTCCATGTCGAACATAATTGACGAACAGAGAATGTTCTGTTCGTCAAGTTTATTTTGTTTTTACCATTTAATTGTTTCCATAAACGCTCCATGTCGAACATAATTGACGAACAGAGAATGTTCTGTTCGTCAAGTTTATTTTGTTTTTACCATTTAATTGTTTCCATAAACGCTCCATGTCGAACATAATTGACGAACAGAGAATGTTCTGTTCGTCAAGTTTATTTTGTTTTTACCATTTAATTGTTGTAAAATATCCATATGAAGACTAACCAAAAATAAATTTTCTTATAAAGCTTCGGGGTCTATTTCTTCAACCATTTCACTTCCTTCGTCAATGTCAATAGAAGCTTCTTCAACCTTTGGTAAGAATTTCTGTATAACATCTTTGTTCGTTATTGTCTTCAGAGATGAAGGATAATATTTCACATTTGTTTCACCCTTCTTATATTCTTTCTGTTCGGAAAGATTCATAGCAATACTGAAGAAGTCAACGTTAGAGTTCTTTATGACAGTATAATGAGTATCTTTGACATTTACGAAGAAACTCTTTTGTTTCAAAACTACTGCTAACTCTTGTGAAGTATAACGTTTGCGGTCAATGACGATAGCTAATGGTCTGACATACTGACCAAACTTAGATTCTTTCACAAACTTCTTGTTAAAGATAACATTAACATTTGAAGCATTATTGAACTCATTCTTGATGGCAGTAGCGAGAGCATTGTATGAAAAGAACTTGCAATCTTGCATGTGTTTCATTAAAATAAAAATATTAAATTATTTTGAAAAATAACTTAAAAAATCTAATCTAATTTTTTCAAAAAATATTTTTTATTTCCTACTAAAGATGTATCGGAAGTTGTCTAAGTTAGAACACTCGGAAATAAAACAACTTCTTACAGAAGCTAATATAGATGTTGCAAAGCATTACGCAACAAACAAAAAATCACTCGCTGACATCCTCAATGACTATAATGGTGCAATAAGTTATGATAGAATTCATGAGTTCATAAAGCCGCAACGCGGCGAGGACGAAGTCCATGCAAGAGCATTTCCTTTAAATGACGTTGCTATTGACTTATATCATAGACGTTCAGTACCTCATGAAGTAAGAAGAGAAATGTTTGACATAACAAATGCAAACGTTGGTGAAACAAGAAGAAGAGACGACACACTGAAACAACAGAGAAGAGAGATGTTTAAAAGCGCTATAGAACAAGTTCGCAAAGCTAACGATGTCATTCGTTCCATTGACGACAAACCAAAAGAAGGTGAGAGATGGTTAAAGAAAGATGAAGAGAATAGGAAGAGAAATGTGAAGTCAGGCAATAGACTCATTGACTTTAACATCGAAGCTTTAGATGAACCAAACAGAGACTACTTACACAAACATTTCGGTAAGGTTTTCATGAGACTCTTAGAGAAGATTAAAATAAACTCACAACAGAGATGGATGGTATGTTATAAACTTGGTGGAAAGTATGAATGTTCTACGTTAAACCTCAATAATATTGGAACATTACTACATCAGCTCTTGAAGGAGAACTTTATATCAGAGATAGAAGCAAATGCTGCAGGTATTGTTGAAATGCACTATGACTTCTTCTTGACAAACATAAAGAATCTTACTGAAATAAAGATGTATGATTTAACTGAATATGAAGGCTTAACGATGTCAGATGTAAAGAAAGGCAAACCAAAAAAGAGACCATATAGAGATGAAAGCACACTGACAAATGACCAGAAAGCCATTTTGGAAGCTCTTAAGCAAACAGGAAACCCAGCACTTATAGAAAGCTTTTGGAAAGATAATGGTGAAAAGAAGTTTTATAAGAAGAGAAGCGGTCAGTTCTGGAAGTATCTTTGCACATTACCTATAAATCTTGAACGCTACCAAATCTTCAATGAACTGAACAAAAGAACTGCAACACTTATGACAGAAGATAACTGCTTCGTTTATGCTTGCATTCAGGCTGGAGTAAATGAAGAAACTATTGACCACATGAGAGAAGTCATTCGTGTTAGAGACTTTCCTCAAAGTAAAGTACAAGAAATTTCTGACGCAACAGGTATAGCATTTAATGTTACCATTGGTTACTTCAATGACTCAAGACATAATGAAATAAAGAGATACATACCAAGAGAATGTAAAACTATTCGAACTATTGACTTACTTCTTGTTGAAGACCACTACATGCTAAATGAAAGATTACCAATGACAACATATTTCATTCGCAACTATATAGAAATCTTGAAGGAGTGTGGTGGAATGAACATTGAGAAACAGATGAAGATTTATACAAAGAGAGAGAACAAATATGTAGTTCGTTATGATAGAACAACACCGTTATGGGATGTTATGAAAACATTGTGGGAGTGCAAATATTTCGAACCTATTTCTTATGGAGAACTTTTCACATATACGACTGACTTATATAAACAGAACCTTGCACCATTTAAAGATTTGACAGTTAGTTAGTATACATATCAAGTGTACGGAGGCACTGCGCACCTACTTACCCATTATATGTGAATTTGACACTTTACAAAACCGTTAACGTATATTTTACAACACAAACGACAACACTAACTTAACCTTAAATATTTACAAAGCCGCCAACCACTTCACCTCACTAATGTAAAAAATAAACGTTCTCACTTACAAAAGTATTGCAACTCTTCCCATTGCTGTGCTTCACACAATACTTCATATTCTTCAGTATCGCTGCTGTCACTCCAATCGTCAGAGTCAAAATCACTGTCAAAATAAATGCTAGTAAGTTTTGACAAAGCTAATGAAACACGTTTACCGTTTGTATCGTATGCTTGTATAAACTTTCCATTCTTCATTCCTTCATAAACGCTCAAACTAACTTTACCTTTTCTCCCTCGTATCTGATAGAATGTATTTTCACGAGGAACGAAGAACAAATTCTTGAACTCATGACCGTTGTAGTTTGTTATCTCAATAGTTTTCGTCATTTATATAAAAATAAAATAAAAATAAAATAAAAAATAAACTTAAAAATAAATGATATCACCACTCCCACACGTATGAAAACATAGCACAAAAATAAATTTAGGCGAAGTGGTGAGATCTCACCTCTTTTTTCACCTGTTTTTTCACCCTGTTGAATTCATTGCTTTATAACTCTCTTCCTTTCTCCAACTCTTCTAACTTCTTCTTAAGTTCAGCAATGTTGTCCTCATGAAGTTTAATCTTTCTCAAAATTCCTTCTTTATCTAATGGTTGCTTTATCTTTCTAAACTGAACTCTACCATCCTTCATAGTATGAATGTAAAAACCTTCTGGAATAGTTCCTGATTTAATGTATTCTACCAAAAACTTTTGTTTCATTGCTTCAGTGACTTTATTTGTCATTTCAATCAAATAAAAATTTTAATAAGTTTCGCTTTTTAGTAACAGGGGACGAGTCTTGGTTTCAATATGCAACAGAAGCCAAAACCATGTGGATCCCGATGGATGAAAATCCGCAAACATTCCCGAAGAAAAAAATTGACACACCAATGATGATGTTGTCGGTTTTTTGGGGCGTGAATGGCATCATCACAATTGATATTCTTCAAAAACCTAATACGATGAATGCTCAATATCTAATTGACAATGTTCTTACTCAAATTATCAATTCTGATGAGTTTGAGAAATCCAAACAACAAAAACAAAAGTTTGCAATTCATTTTGATAATTCAAGAGTTCACAAAAGTCATAAGGTAATGAATTACTTGGTGGAAAACAATGTCAAAGTTGTTCCAAACCCAATTTATTCACCTGATATTGCACCCTCTGACTTTTATTTATTCGGCACGCTAAAAAAGAGAGCTGAAGGACGCGAATTCGCGAGTCCAGATTATCTTGAAAATTTTGTAAGAGAGCAATTTGAGAAATTTTCTCATGATGATTTAAAGCGTGTCTTTCGAGCCTGGATTGATCGCTGCGAACGCGTGATTGAATCCAATGGTGATTATATTTAAATAAACTTTATATATATGTAACTTGTTTATTTCTATTCGCAGTATTCAGGTTTGTGCTAAACACACCTTTGGACACCCTATATTAAATAAAAATAACGTTATTTTTTCAGTAAGGAAACGCAGGAGTTTTACGATTTATTTGAGGAGTAGGTTCTGGTTTAAATGTTGGAGTCGGTTTAGGAGTTGACTTTTGAACAGGAGTTTGTACTTCCATAGGTTCAGGAGTCATTGAAGGTTTTGCTTGTGAAGGCGTTGGTTTTGGCGAAGGTGTTGGAGTTTGTTTAACTTCAGCTACTTCAGTATTATTTACAACATTTGCTTTATTTCTTTTCAACATCATAACTGCTCCTGCTGTAGCTAGCAAACCTAGTGGGAGACCATATCTTATATAAGGACTTGACCAAATGCTATTTTTGACAGGAGCTGGTGGAACACCTAACCTTGGTGAGACTGCTCTTTGCCATTGTGCAGCTCGTAAGAAATATTCAATAGGTGCTCCATAATCGTTTGGTAAAGTTTGTTTCATAGATGGTGAAGGTTCACGAGAGCTTGATGAAGAACTCATTTATAAGCTTTAAAAATAAACGTTCATCCTTTATTCCTCACTGTCGTAGCTAAGTTATAGTCATCTAATCTTATTATTGGGATTCCATTAGCACGCACCTGAATGGCAAAGCAACAATCCCTCATAAATCCAATAAGTGGCTTTGGTACATTTTCAGTTGCTAGTTCAATAGGTCCTTTAACAGACAATTTGTATGTTATTGGAGCAGTAGATGTTTGACCTTGCTGGAAGCAAAAGTCCACTTCTGTTGGAAAACCACATAAGAAATGTGTGTTTCATAACTATCCCATTTATGTTCCACACTACCATCATCCACCAATGACCTCATAACATCTTCATTAAATCCTATCATATCATTGTTTGTATTGCAAGCGTTCGCAACCATTTCATAAAATACAGGTCCATATGATTTTTCAGGTTCTGCAGGCATATTTCCATAAGCTCCCATGGAAAGCTGAAGATATTTAAACTTAGGGTTCTCAAAATTAACATAATAGTTGTCTTTCTTTCTAAATAGTGCCCAAATACTTTTAACATTAATAGGCGTATAAGCTGCTGTAAATGTTGCACTTGAACTATCTGTATTCTTTGAGAATGAACCGTCCATAGGAATCCAATCCATAACTTTAACAGGAAAACATAAAGCCTCGTTTGTATAATGTTCTACAAGTTCTGTATAAATGTTAGGGTCTAAAGAGAATGACTTTGGATGAATGAAACATTCATTAAAATCCATCTTTGTTCGAAATAGTTGCTGGGTTACAGTTGTAATAGTAACTGTTCCACTAGCTTCTACTGCCTTCGTTATCATGGTGAATGGTTCATTCCATGGAACAAATTTATTTGTCGGTGGATTTGAATCTGAAGCAAATGCAACTTTAAGAGTTGGATTGAAAGCAACGATATCATTTACAGATATAGATGTGCATTGTAAGGCGTCGCTTACTGAACTTTACTTTAAGCTGAATGTTTCCTGCAAAAGCTGGAATAAATCGAATAGCTTCTAATGGAAGGAATCTTCTAACAGGAATTCTTAAACGAAGCTTAAAATCAAATGATTTTCCTGCTGTAATTGGACCACTAACAATTTGTCCTGTTCTGCATGTTCCCGAATGACTCCATACATCTTCATGTCGAGTCTTTGAGAAAACATCTACTTTCTTTATTTGTTCGGTAGTTTGTGAGTTTGAAGTTATATATGCTTCTTCTCTTGCGTTGTCTTGAGAATATACGATACGGCCATTTGCAAGGATTTGATATCCAGCAACTGCATAGAAAGCGTCATCGAAACCAATCCAAAATCCTGGTGGGTTTGTTTTATTGGAACCTGAACCAATTTCTTTATCTACAATAAATTGACCTTCCATTTTATACGTAATGAATGTATTGTAAAGGTCCAACATATTTTCACCAGGAGGTGAGAGATTGAATGTTACCCATGTGTTATCTTTAGCAGTTCCAGGTTGTGATGGAATCTTTGCGTCAGAATATATTTCTATTAGTGTCACCAATTTGAACTGCATTGTCTATGATATCGAAATATGAGCGAATCTGATGAATATGCTCTGCTGGAGTAAATTCGTTTAACTGTTCGTTCTGCATGTATTTACTTCAGATAAAAATATCTATTTACTTCATTATTCTCACTCTTCTTCTTGGCATTCGTGGTGAAGTTGTTTCTTGACATTTTCAATGAACTGTACATTCTCTTTTGTCTCAACTTCTTTCACTGGTGGGTCAGGGTTCTTTGACTCGTTTGTTTTTCAATGAAATTCACGAACTTTGCAATAAGCTCTTGGTTCGTTATTGAAAGTACATCTGGCTTCTTTTCTTCTTGTTCTATTGACTTTTCAGTTTGAACAGAAGGTTTTATATGGGCTTCGTGGACTTCACCCTTGCCATACACCTTAATGTTGTCGCTTTCTGCATTCGCTAATGGAACCTTTCTTTTTCTTACGTATATTTTACCATCTTTACTCTGACTTACGTAATAGAAAGGATGTTGTATTCCTCTTGCGTCATTTAATATAATAGACTCTCGCTCTGATTTTGACAAGCTCATTTTACATCGGTTAAAGTTTTAAGTTAGATTTTTATCCGCAGTCAAATGACTCAGACAAGTCATGGACAAGACCCAAGGGGTCATAGATGTTGAAGCATTGAAGAAAGAAATTCGCGAGCAAATTTTATCCGAACTGAAGGAACAAAAACAAGAACAAAAGCCAGAGAGACCAAGAGAAACTTAGTGAAAAACAACTTGCTGCATAGCTGCTGGAAGACAAAAGAACCCACGTTTGCTGGCGAAGAAAGCTAGAGAAGAAGCAAAAGCAAAGGAAGAACAAAGCTAAAGAAGCTGAAGCAAAGAAAGAAGTAAATGGTTTATTTTATCCGAATTAAATGTATAGACAAAATACCTTTATCTGTTGCGTTCAGTAGTGAAAACCCTGACGTCAAAATAAAGGGGAACAGAGTAACGTTTAAGTTTCCAACAGACTGGATTGTGAACATAAATGAAGAGAAGTACATTGGCATAACATCTATGTATATAACACGTGCTTTCAGAAAGGTTGACTTTATACTTCAAGTCGAGATAGAAAATGACGAACAGTCTTTAAGCGCCCAAACATTCACATATACAAATACTTTAAAGACGATACAACGTTAGAAGACTGTATAATTACATTTTACGAAAATTTTCAAAAGAAGTTTAACATTGAAGTACAAACTTTACAGCCTTTACGTGAGTTTCTTGCACAACTGAAAGAAGAAGGAATTGTAGAAAGATTAATAGCTTTTCATTACGAGTTTGTACCAAATGAAGATGGAACACATGACTGTCAATTCATTGTATTCTCACCATTCAATGAAGTCGCTAAAAAGAAAGAAAATCCATTACGTATAAGATTTCAAATCTCTGAACCAAGTGATGATTTCAAGAATGTTTTCAATTATGATGCAATGCTTCCGAGGAAAAATGAATTTTCAAAGATTGTAACACCTGGCATTTGGGATAGAAAGCAAGCTATATTATATTCAAACTTAAGTAAGGGAGTTGAAAATGAGTTCATTGGTCATACAAGAACTTCACCACTTCCTAACCCTAAATACTATAAATTAACTGGCTTCAATCGTGAGTTTTGGATAGACATGTTCTCCACTCATGACCATAACTGCCCAGTGTTCTTACCTCCAGACCATAAGGACTGTCTCTACATTGAAGCACAACTCTTAAACTCTACCATCGCAGTATTGTAAATGACCACATGGGCTTCGCCCTTGCCGCTAGCGGCTTATTTTTATCACGAATGACCTCATTGCTGACAAAAATAAATGACCTCAGAACTTCAACTTACGAATAAAGCTTGTTTTAGTCGTTATTGAGAAGTTAAACTTTTCAGCAAAGCAAGGTTGACATGACTTACATAAGTCAAATCCAATCTCTTGACCATCATGAAGTGCTTTATATAACTTCATAACACTGAACTCAGAGTCTTTGTCATATGTTCCTTGCGGAACCATTAAACCTTTATCTTCATCATAGAAACACTGAACAGAGTCAGGAAACATTTCATTAGCGGTTAAAGCAATAACATCTTGCTTCACGCCTTTCATTCTGCAGTGAAATGCAACTTCATTTAAATCATTCGTGAGTAAGTCTATGTAAGTCTTCTTTCCACAAAATATTGACTTGTATGCTAAACTTTGTTTATCTTTTGTGATTTCTGCAAAGTCGCTATGAAATTGACCAAGGTTTTTACCAATGAGAACTCTTCCATAACGTTTCTCAAACTCTTCAGCTAAACGAGGGATATCTTCATTGTAGAGATGCATACTGTCCGTATCGCTATAAAAGATGTCCATTCCTAAGTCCTCAGCAGTACAGAATACTTCACACATTATTCTCTTCGACATTGACAGAATGTTAACACCAAGTGGACAGAAGTTAAAGTGTCTGCAAATGCTTTTCGTTAGCTTGAAAATAGTTTTTATCTGAACCATCCAAACCTTCGAACTTCACTATATGGTTGTAGTTTCTGATGGCATATCTTATAGCATCTTTGTCATCTACTATGGTTATTTTTGACTCAATAAGAGATAGAATAGTTTTGCCATAAATACTGTTCAGAATGAGCTTTATATTTTCTTGCAAAGGATTTCCTTCTTTCTTATACTTTAACCTTAACTCAAACAACTTCTTTACTTCATCTCTTATTCTAATATCTCTGTTTCCATCGTAATAGTATCCTTGCAACACTTCACATTTGACACCTTGATATTTTATGAGGTCTTGTAATGTTATATGGTCAACATACATTAAACAGCAAGTGTTTGAACTTCTGGAACGTTAAGTTCTGGATTTAGTTCAGGGTCACAAAACTATTAAAGGAAAGTGTCTATGTATTCCAATCTCTGTTATCTTAATGAGAACAAAGAAGCCAGACATAAACTTTTCACCAATGGGTTCCTTTTGGTCGTCATCGAATAAATGTCTCATGAGATACTCTGTGCTTAACATTTCTTTCTTCAATACTTTCGGTATACCTTCTAAAGTATAAAGTCTTGCTATAGCTGATGGATATAATGAAACAGCGTCGAAATCAGCAATGAGTTTCTCTTTACTCTTTTGTTTAATGTTATCTGACAGCATACATCTTCCACCTTGAATACAGCGTGAAATAAATTCTCTTGGTTTATTTGAGAGGTCATATAAATTTCCATTCGGAAGTACACTCTGTTCTCAAACAATTTGTTAGCAATAGAACAAATACTAACGTAGTCATAAACGTTTAAATCAAATTCTTTCAATATGTCATTGCGGAACTTAACAAAACCTTCTCTTAAAATTCTTACATCTTGTTTGCAATAAAATGTGCTATACTTTTCTAAGTCGAAGTGGTTCTCATCTATTCTGCAACCTTTGATGGAATCTATGTTTTTCATGAATGTATCTGCATCCCGGATAAACTTACATGCTTCAGAAATGACACCAGTTCTGTTGTCATTTGCTAACAAAACACTGCTGTAGTAGTTGTATGGAAATACTTCTTTCGGTCCTGTTTGTAAGTTAAACATAGCAGGAAATAGTTTAAGCTTCTTATTTATAACACTGTAAGAGTCTTTTATAATAATTGCCCTTCCTTTATATAAGCCAGTTATTTGCATTGTTCGTGAACCTTAATGATGGAGTTCCTTTCACTTCTGTCATGTGTCTTAAGATGAAGTTTATATCATAACTGAGGTTATGGAAATATATTAAACTCTTGTCAGGAAGTCGTTCCAAAAATTCTGTTGCACAGTTCTGACCCCAAATGCTTTCACTCACTGAACCATCTTCACTGTCGTAACAGATGTTAAAAGCTTTTATGAAAGCGTCTGTGCTACACTCAAAGTCAGCAAAGAAAACGTGCTCAGGAATGAACTTGCACTTATTTTTATTTACTTCTTTTGACTCTGCTTTCTTCTTCAGTTGTACACAATACTTTGGAGCATATGTCAAATCTTTAAATGGTGCAAGGTTCTGTTTATATAAGTCAGTCGTATATGTGAAAAGTTCTCCATAAGAAATAGGTTCGAAATATTTGCACTCCCACAATGTTTTCATAACATCCCATAACGGTGTTGTTCTATCATAACGAACTACATATTTTATCTCTCTCTTTGTATAAATCTTCATCTGTTTCTCAATGTTCATTCCACCACACTCCTTCAAGATTTCTATATAGTTGCGAATGAAATATGTTGTCATTGGTAATCTTTCATTTAGCATGTAGTGGTCTTCAACAAGAAGTAAGTCAATAGTTCGAACAGTTTCACATTCTTTTGGTATGTATCTCTTTATTTCATTATGTCTTGAGTCATTGAAGTAACCAATGGTAACATTAAATGCTATACCTGTTGCGTCAGAAATTTCTTGTACTTTACTTTGAGGAAAGTCTCTAACACGAATGACTTCTCTCATGTGGTCAATAGTTTCTTCATTTACTCCAGCCTGAATGCAAGCATAAACGAACAATTGTCTTCTGTCATAAGTGTTGCAGTTCTTTTGTTCAGTTCATTGAAGATTTGGTAGCGTTCAAGATTTATAGGTAATGTGCAAAGATACTTCCAGAACTGACCGCTTCTCTTCTTATAAAACTTCTTTTCACCATTATCTTTCCAAAAGCTTTCTATAAGTGCTGGGTTTCCTGTTTGCTTAAGAGCTTCCAAAATGGCTTTCTGGTCATTTGTCAGTGTGCTTTCATCTCTATATGGTCTCTTTTTTGGTTTGCCTTTCTTTACATCTGACATCGTTAAGCCTTCATATTCTGTTAAATCATACATCTTTATTTCAGTAAGATTCTTTATGTTTGTCAAGAAGAAGTCATAGTGCATTTCAACAATACCTGCAGCATTTGCTTCTATCTCTGATATAAAGTTCTCCTTCAAGAGCTGATGTAGTAATGTTCCAATATTATTGAGGTTTAACGTAGAACATTCATACTTTCCACCAAGTTTATAACATACCATCCATCTCTGTTGTGAGTTTATTTTAATTTCTCTAAGAGTCTCATGAAAACCTTACCGAAATGTTTGTGTAAGTAGTCTCTGTTTGGTTCATCTAAAGCTTCGATGTTAAAGTCAATGAGTCTATTGCCTGACTTCACATTTCTCTTCCTATTCTCTTCATCTTTCTTTAACCATCTCTCACCTTCTTTTGGTTTGTCGTCAATGGAACGAATGACATCGTTAGCTTTGCGAACTTGTTCTATAGCGCTTTAAACATCTCTCTTCTCTGTTGTTTCAGTGTGTCGTCTCTTCTTCTTGTTTCACCAACGTTTGCATTTGTTATGTCAAACATTTCTCTTCTTACTTCATGAGGTACTGAACGTCTATGATATAAGTCAATAGCAACGTCATTTAAAGGAAATGCTCTTGCATGGACTTCGTCCTCGCCGCGTTGCGGCTTTATGAACTCATGAATTCTATCATAACTTATTGCACCATTATAGTCTTTTGAATGTCAGCGAGTGCTTTTTTGTTTGTTGCGTAATGCTTTGCAACATCTATATTAGCTTCTGTAAGAAGTTGTTTTATTTCCGAGTGTTCTAACTTAGACAACTTCCGATACATCTTTAGTAGGAAATAAAAAAATATTTTTTGAAAAAATTAGATTAGATTTTTTAAGTTATTTTTCAAAATAATTTAATATTTTTATTTTAATGAAACACATGCAAGATTGCAAGTTCTTTTCATACAATGCTCTCGCTACTGCCATCAAGAATGAGTTCAATAATGCTTCAAATGTTAATGTTATCTTTAACAAGAAGTTTGTGAAAGAATCTAAGTTTGGTCAGTATGTCAGACCATTAGCTATCGTCATTGACCGCAAACGTTATACTTCACAAGAGTTAGCAGTAGTTTTGAAACAAAAGAGTTTCTTCGTGAATGTCAAAGATACTCATTATACTGTCATAAAGAACTCTAACGTTGACTTCTTCAGTATTGCTTTAAATCTTTCCGAACAGAAAGAATATAAGAAGGGTGAAACAAATGTGAAATATTATCCTTCATCTCTGAAGACAATAACGAACAAAGATGTTATACAGAAATTCTTACCAAAGGTTGAAGAAGCTTCTATTGACATTGACGAAGGAAGTGAAATGGTTGAAGAAATAGACCCTGAAGCTATTTAAGAAAATATTTTTGGTTAGTCTTCATATCGATATTTTACAACAATTCCCCAATGTATAAACTTTTCATACGCTTTTTCATAAGCTTTATATACCTTCAGAAATTTTGCATAATCTTTAGAAGCATTTAGATATTGTTTAAATGCTTTGTATGTCTTCAGAAATTTTGCATAATCTTTTACATGTTGTTCGTTCTCTTCTTCTGTCATGAGTTCCGAATATTCTAAATTCATGTTCTTTCATATGAGATAAAATTTTATAAAAAAATAAAATTAGCTTAGATTTTTTTATTCTTCCTCTTTGAAGTTATCGAAATATTCTGTTATTTTTTCCTTCAGTAATGTTAAGTCTTCTTTGAATGTAAGTATTGTGCAACCTTTGATGTCATAGTGTGTTTGAGGAAGAGTATTTTTGACAATTTCCTTTATTTGCTCATTCGGTGTCATTGAAATCGGTAAGTTTTCACGATAGAACCAGTTTCTGTCAGATTTATATATTTTAGCTAAGTCATAAAAGCTCTTGTTGTTTCTTCTGACTAAATGTAACATAACCATATCTTTATCTTCTTCTTTCTCCAACTCTTCAGTATATATCATATACTATTAACTCTTTTCCTTTCCTTTTGGTACCGAACGCGGTATTCTTTTCTGTATGCTTTTGTCTTTGGATTCAATGACTTCATCTTTTGCATGAAGTTTCTTTTCCATCTCTCCACGTTCTGCTTTATATAGTTCATCTAACATCATGAAAATATAACAAGCATAACGAGGTGAAGCCCACATTGCTACAGCATTTACTAAAAGTCTATGAACATAATAACCTTTCAAACCAGGAGCCAAATTCTTGCGATTTTCGTACGGAATCTCTTCCCGGTTTTCCGAGGGAAGCAATCATATGAGGAAATTCTTCTAAAAGTTCTTTTGTCTGTTGGTTTTCAAACCAATGATATGCTTGCTTTGTAGAACGAAGAGCATTCATTATACTTTGCATTTGGTACATGTCATCTTTGACTGAACGAATGAGACGTAACTGTTTGTTATACTGTATGTACTCGTATTCTTCATTTATAGCTTCATGGACTATAACTGTTGTTGTGTTCTCTGATGTTGTCATTACTGTCTTTACATACAAAATAAAAAAATAAATAAAAATAAAACTAACTTTATTTTCTGACTTTCACAAAAGACCAAAAATAAACGCTTTACATGTATTTTTCAGCAACTTCGTCAAATAATTTTATAGCTTTATCTATCTCATCTACTTCAAACGTTTCTTTACCTTTCGTGGGAGCACCATACATTTTCTCAAAAACTTCAAGCAGTTCTGTTTCAGCAGCTCTCATATCATTAACAAACACAACCTTGACTCTATTGACTGTACTGTCATATCTTTGAGTTATATTATATGTCCTTCCTATCTTATATCTTTTTGTGTTGAAGTCCTTCGGTTTCTGAACGATATAAAGTAAGCCTCACTGCAACGTTCTGAGTCGAATGAACCATATGTTATGAAGTTATATCCAACAACTGGGTCAACCATAAAAACTATTGGTATAAGACTTTTGTCAATGAGATATGCTGTGTTCCATGAATCTTACTGATATCATGAGCTCAGGATTTCTTGTCAAAATTTTCTGAGTTGAAGCATTTCTAACCCAGTCGTTTGTTTTCTTTCCAGATGGAGATATAATGTCTGACAAAGAATATTTGTTGTATTTCTTTGAGTATCTTACGTTTAAATCACCTATTCTAACCACTTTGGTGTCATTGTCTATCTTTCTAACTGTTTCAAACTCAATGTTTGACATTACTGTCTTTACATACAAAATAACTAATGAAATTCATTATTTTTGTGCTGAATTCAATAAAAATAATGTTGAGGTGAAGAGGTGAGATCTCACCTGTTTTTTCACCTCTTTTTTCACAAGCGTTTTACATGAATTGTACGATGTATATTTGAAATCCTAAACAATTTCGTAGCTTCTATTTCTTCTTTTAGTACATCAAAAGTTTTAACAATGCCGAAGGTTTCTTTATATTTCTTCTTGACGTCAGACAGAAGGAAATCTTCTGCTGTTGGATAGTTTTTATTAAGAAATGTCAACATATCCATTTTATCTTCTGCTGGCTTTTCTGCTTCTTTCTTTAAGTCTGCATAGTCGTTTCGCATTCTTTCTATCTCTTTGACTGAGTAGTTATATTTCCTCATTGCTGCTTTACATTTTGAACATTACGGCATCGTTTTTGCGTTATACATTGAAATAAAACCAGCTAGAACAACTAAGGCGTCAATGGTTTTCTTTAACTCAAAAGCTGCTGGTTTTATCTGTTCATTCCATACTTTACCTCTTCTATCTTTATCTCTTATCTGCCATACACATTTTGCAACTAATGAAACAAAGTTATCGTATGTCTTAAATTCTTCGGATTTGTAAAGGTCAGAAATATTTTTATAAACCATGTCGCAATCTTTGTCCATAACTTTATGGTTGCAATGAAAACCAAGGAATTCATAATTTACTTTACGTATGAATTTCTTAATTTCTACTGAGTCAGTTGCTTTGACTTCAATTTCGTCGAATTCAGGAATAGTTAGTTTTTGCTGCTGAATTTCAGGTAGTTTAGGCAAATGGTCGATGAGGTCCTCCATTTCATAAAGATACTGTTCATTTGTTTCATCTTTCGCACTACAGTCTAAATTACTTGTTAAAAGTTCTTGCTTTATCTTCTGGATTTCTGTTTCAAAAGTATATGAAGAAGGAATAAAGCTTTTCATCTCTACCAACATTGACGTAGGATTCATGACTAGCGAGTTTGGTGCTGTAGTTGTGGACAGAGTCCCGCCGTTCGTGGCTTGAATTGTTGTTGTGCCGATTGTTGAAATCATATCTTTTATACAAAATAAAAAAATAAATAAAAATAAAACTAACTTTATTTTTCTATCTTAAGGAAATTCATGAAAATTCACGAGAAAGCTAAAGTAATCTGAGCCGCTAAGCGGCGAGGGTGAAAAAAGAGGTGAAAAAACGGGTGAGATCTCACCTCTTCACCTAAAATATATTTTTGGTGTAAATTTATGACAAAAATAAATGGTACCATTAATGATATCATGACTGTTGTCATTCATGTCTGATTTACATCTAATGAAAAAGTTTAGAAGAATTTTCTTATTCTTTCTGGCTTATTTTTGTCTTTCCAGTACTCCCGCTCTAATGGTCCCAGATGTGTTGGCTTTGACTCTCTCAAGTTCTTAGATGGTATAACATCTTCAACGCCTCCTTCATATCTTACTTTATAAGTGTCATCGTTTATGTTATAGCCAAGTATTTCAATAACCACTCCTCGCTTTGCTTCGTCAATGGTTTCAGCAAGTTTGCCATTACTACTTTCAACTAATTTATGACGAGGGTAAAACGCAATAGAGTCGTCGGCAGCTTTTATAAGATATCCATTACCTTGCGTAGAGTCTACGATATAATAATTTCGACTTAACCTTAAACGTTTCTTTGTCAACGGCTTGTCGTCAAGAACTACACGAACTTTTGTACCAGGAATGAGAGTAAATTGTGTTGAATTTCTGATATTTTGTGTTTGGCTTCGTTTCTTTTGTATATACTTTTCTTCTTGTTGTTGTGTCATTGAATTTGGTGTATGTCCTGTTGTAGAATGTGTTGAGGAATTATATACTTCGAGAAAATGTTTCATTGTTTCTTCGGTAAAGTCTCGCTCTTGGTTTAAATCTCTGAGCGTTCTTATGAAGCGGTTTATGATGCCGAGTATGTTATGGTTATGGTCTTCAGTAGTGTAGTGAGTTATGTTATGCTTAATGAGAAAATCTGTGATTTCATTGCTGAGGTATGCACCGTCTTGGTCTGATGTTAAAGTACTTGGGCTATGTTCTGCTACAAACTTTTGTAAAACTCTTAACACTTCACGAGTTCCTTTATTTTTCATTGGATATGCATATGCTTTACGAGTGTTAACATTAATGAAGATGAGGAATGGTTTATGTTCTCCTTTTCTGCTTTGAATGAGAGTGTCAAATTGGTATGCGTCAGGAGTGTTGGAGTAAATTGGTAAAAAGTAGTCGTAAGGGTTTATTTTTGTTTGATGTACAACATTTTTGTCAAAGAACCTTTTCACTTCAGCTCTGTTAGTAAATCCCCAACTCTTTGCAGCTTCATTGAACTTCTTAAATGACCTCCATGGATGTTGTTCGAATACTTCTTTCAAGCTCATTTATGTAAAGTTAAAGATTTTATTCTAGGCTCAAGCGCGTTCATTGAACGCGGTACCATGCGAATACAGTCACAAATGGTGGCATATAATCTGCACCCGAGCCTGTTGGATTTGTTGTGAAAGTGTGTGAATGATTTCCTGTGGTTCCACAGAAAATACCTGCGCTTGAATCTACTGGGTCACTTGAAATATCATATCTATGCATTCCCTGTCTATCCGAACCTGCTGCAAGATTTGTATAACCTCTTTTTGTTATTGAATGTGAATGATTACCTGTTGTGTTTGTAGTTCCTGTATGAGTGTGCGGTGGAAGGTTTGCTTTTTTAATTTTCTTCGAACCTCCTGTTTGCTTTGAATATTTAGCACAGTATAAGAATTTATCTACAATCTGCTTCCACGTACCAAAACCTAAAACACTTGCCGGATTTGTTGAATTCATTGACGTATAAATAGAGCCTATAGGATATAATGTTTGAAGTATTTCAGTCTTTAATGTTTGAAGCTCTGTTTTGTCTGCTTTCTTATCATATAAATCTTGAGCAGTGAATTTAACATTATTTTCATCATCCATGACATAAACATTTTTACAGCTAATTTCTTTCTTCGTTGTTATGTTTTCATTCGATGTTAAACCTTGTGGAAAGTTAGGAGGTTTATAATATAATGCATCCCCACCAGTTCCGCCAACCGTTCCTTCAATACTTTCTATAGCAACAGTTGAGAAGGAGTTATGCGTATGTTCTTTATCTGCTTTTTTAACTAACATTGCTGGTAGTTTATATGTTTCAAAGTTTCTGACATGACCTTCAATGTTCATACATTTACTATTTAAGGAGTTTAGTGTATCTTTTACGCTTGTACTTGGATTCTCTAAAGGTGCACTTGAACTAAGGGTATAGTTCAATATTATGTCGTCTGCTCTAACAGTAGTGAAGGATTCATGTGTATGGTTCTTGTCGGCTTTACTATTTAATGTAGCTTGAAGTTCATTTATATCGGAGATGTTGTGTTTATGAGATTTCAAAACTTTGTTCATTGCTTCGAGTTCAACTTTGTCAGCTTTACTTTTAATAGCATCTTCAAACGTTATTTTTGACTTAACTCTCAAAGTAAATCTTGGTTCAACTAATACACCTTTAACAGAGAAAGTAGAGGCATAAATTTCATCGTTATAACTAAATGCTTCTAGCGCTTTACCCGTGTCATAATGTACAGTACAGCTTATGTCATAACCTTTAGCACGAATGTATTTATATCTTCTTTCATTAACATCTTCAGTGCTTATTTGTTCATCCTGTGTTAAATATCCATGGTAGTCCGTTATAATCTGTTCGTCTGAAGTTATATAATGAACGTGGTTCTTGACTTTATCACTCAGAGCTAAAAGCTCATTTTTGTCTGCTTTTTCGGCTAATTTCTCATTAACATCATTCACTTCTAATTCAACTCTTCCGCCAGAACTCTTATTATCATTAATCTTTTTCATTAATTCGGTAATTACGTCATAAAGACTATATTCTGTTTTCGGTTCTGTAAATAATGAGTCAAAATTTCTTTTCATCATTACATCGCTGACATTAATGATATCACCAATTCCTTTTTCATTTATTCTCTTCATTAATTCTGCAATAATGACGAATATATAATCTGTTAATTTATTCTCTTCATCGAGGGTTATAGAATGTTTTGAAATTGAATCATTAACTCCTCTAAATAAATCAATAACTTCAGGATACACGTTTTTAATGTCTCGAATAACCCGACCAGTATCCTGTTGTTCATGTTCTTCGTTCCCGTCGTTACGTGGTTTTATATCTCTAACCATCATCAACGCAGCCATAACCGGAGGGTTTGTTGCTATCTGTTCGAAAATCCGTCCGTTATGTATGGTATATTTAAATAATTTCTTTGTGTTTGTTAAAACATTTGAAACAAGTCTTTTAAAACCATCTACAAAATTTCCTGTTTCACCTAATGTTCTTGCAGCATTTACAAGCTCACCCATTCCAGCTTTTGACCCCAAAAACGTCCATATTGCATTTATTTCACTCTGTATAGTTGTCCATTCAGCGAAACTAACACCCGCATTCGCTAAGCTGAAAATGAAATTCAGTGGATCGAACTTAATTCCACCTTCTTTTTCCATTTCAACGAACTCACTAACATGAGATTTTAAGTATTCTTTCGTTAAAATTGTTTTCCCCGATGTTATGTCATTAACGAAACTATCACCGTCAAAAGTTAACGAATTCAATTTCATGGATATTGAAATAGATGGAAAGAAGCACGAAATAAGATTTCACAATAATGTAGAATATAAGATGGAAACATTAGCTGGAGTGTTAAATGCTCTCATAAATACTACAATAAACAAGGATAACGAAGAAAACTTAATGAATGTTAAACTTATTGCAGGAGTTTTGAAGTTCAGTTATGCGAAGGAGTTTAAGATACCAAGAATGAGTCATAGAGTACAACTTCTTTTGGGTGCATACTATATGACATTTCCTTTGAAAAGTGTTGACAAAACGATTGAGATGAAATCTGTTCCATACGTATGTTATGGTAATTGTTTATACATTGAGTCTAAAATAGCTAATGTCACAGGCATTTCAGGAGTTAATAGTAAAGGTTCAGTAGAATATAAGTCTTTCTGTTATGAAGTAAATTCAATGTTCATTCCAAACGTTCCTGTCATAGCAACTCATTTAGGTAAATGGGTTCGCATTAGTCCTCATAATTTGAAAGACATGCAATTCAGACATGTTGACTTTCAAGGAGAGCCTGTAGAACTGAAGGCACCAGTGCGAATGACTGTTGAAGTTGACTTTTTAGAAAATATTAAATGCAACAGCTTACAAGAGAACTCAGAGCTAAAAATATAAAGTATGAATGTTATGTATTAGGTCATGCACTTTGGTTGTTGCTGTTTGATGAAACAAATGAATTAGTTATGTCAGTCAAGAGAACAGAAAAATATTGTGTTAGTGAAAACTGCACCAAGTCAATAAGATTAGGTTTGCATTATGAGGATGAGTTCGATACTGTTGAAGAAGTTTTGGATAGATATTACAAATTGCTAACTTGAAATTTTTTTGACTGACGGCGCAAAGCGCCAAGATGGGCTCAAAGAGCCCTCCTGACTGCTTTAATTTACTAAAACATATTTCAAACAAAGTTTATATTCTGTTGAAAGTTTTGTATATTCATTCGAATATTTATACTTAAACTCAACTCCTGTAGTTCCTGGTGTTTCAATGATGCGGATGTTACCTATTTTCATGAATAGTGGCGTTTGACCACAGCATTCGATTTCAGGGTCGAGATAGTCAATGACACATTGTTTCCCTGTTATTCGTGAGATAACATTTTCAAGGTCCTCCTTTGTTAGAATTATTTGGTTCTTACTTATAAGATTTGTCAAAAGCTTCTTATCGTCTTTGAGTAAGATAGTTTGGTATAACTGAAGAAGGTAATGGTCTACGTTATCTGAAGGATTTGTTTGAACATTTGTGTAAGGATTGTCGTTGGCTTCTCTTGAAAGAATTTGGTCCAGTGGTGGATACTCTAACTTAACATCTGATGTAGCGTTAGCGTTTGAAGCTGTGTTTAAATTCACGGATTTCAGCTCTGGTTCTGGTTCTTTCAAACACTCTGAACTATAGTTCTTTATGACAATATTGTTTGTCGTTCGTGAGTCAACATTTGATGTTGGTTCAATTGGAACATTAACGGCACCAGCTAAGATGGATTTGCTTCTCATTTCATATAGAATAAAAACCTTTTATATGTATGAAATGAACAATATACTCGACAAGGGTTTGAATGTAAAGCTAACGAATGAAAATATTGTTGAATTCACTGAGACAGGTGCTGTGTATAAAGATGTAGAACTACTGAACAAAAGAGCTAAGGGAAGAAGCAGGAACATGAACAAAGGGTGGAAGCCTATAAAAATTTATGTCAATGATGGCTCAGGAGGTTCAAACATAAAGTATGCAGAAAGTTATAGAGTTTATGCTCTCAAAGGTGAAAAGCCTTCATTTAAGAACAGCTATTCTAACGCATATCCTCAAAAGCTAACGGATGGGGAAGTGGATGATATGAATGACAGCAAAAATATTAACAGAAATGGCGACAGAGATGCATGGAATTTGTTTACCATCAGTCAATTGAAGGTTAAACTTTAAAACAATGTTGGTCGTTCCCATGGAATATTTTTGACTTTAATGGTATTAGTCATGATATGAATCTCAAGGTATGAATGAGGAGAGATGAGAGACTTATATGCTTCCCAAATTTCTTCAAAAGGTAATGTTATACCTGACTGTTTCCAAATGAGTTCAATATCATAACGTGAGAAACCTTGAAAGATAACGAAGTCAGTTATGAGACGTTTTATGTTTAAAGCAAGAAAACACCATGTTTGCATAAGTATTGCTACAGTTAAGTGGTAATGTCTGACTTTAGTAATGATGTTAGCTAATGGTGAGTCTGGTTTTGAAACTAAACCTTTTCCGGCGAAGTCGTCGCAAACGAGCAGAGTGTTTGAAGGATATTTTTTGAAGGGGTATTTTGAAAGTTTTGACAGAATGTAGTTTGTAAGTCGTTTCATATCGTAAACTCCTGAGTATTGACGTAAGTGGTGTTTGTCAATAATTCTTTCCATCTCTTCAGAAGTCTTTTGCATTCCTGACTGTATAAATTCAACGATGGCATAATATTTCCTCTTACGTCGAATGTAACGTTGAAGAAATTCAATGAGTTCACTGTCTGGAACTTTAACGACAGAGGCTTGAACTTTTGACATAAATGTTTTCGCTGTTGAGTCCATAGAGTCTGAAGTTGCTGATATAATGATTTGGTCATAGTAAGAGTTGTTTCCTAAACGCTCTGTTATGAGTATATAACGAATGAGGTTAAATTTAAATGCTTTCCTGACCCATCTTTCCACAATAGAAATACACACCATTTGAACAGAATTCATAATCTTTGCTGAAAGGAAGAATGAGAAGAACTGTTGAGCTTGTCTGTAGTTTCATTCATGTCTTCATCTACGTCATGTATTAAATGCTTCATTTTATCTCCATTAAAAATGCAAGTCAGAAATATTCAGAACATAGCACCGAGTCTAACTGACAAGAGTATAAAGATATACTATGAACATGTTATGATGAAACCAACCAAAATTCAAGAAAGTCAGTATACTTATGAATATCCAAGACACTGGGTAGAGTATGTAGGAGTGAGAAAGCTATTGAAATCAGACAGGTTCGAAGTATTCCAGCAGGAAGAACAATATTATTGAAGAACTTTAATGTTTTGAGGTATAATGATGAAACAAAGAAGCAAGATAGTTTTCCTGTTGCTGTGTATGTGAACTTAGATACAGGAGATGACATGAAAGTTTTTAATACAAAGCTTCAAACGGTAGTGAGAGAACAACTTACTGCGGAAAGGACATCCATTACCTTCAGAAGTTACCATAGCATATAATTTTGAAACAAACTCAATAGATTTTAAAGTCATCTCTGCAAAGAAGTCAGGTTTTACATTTAATGAAGCAGATGTATATTCGAATGAAAACTTCAAAGCTATTGCATGGTTAGATAATGACGATTGCTTTAAGAAAAATATTTAAATACAGTGACTCAACGATGTCAATAGATGACCTTCGTGGAATGTTACCATCGACGTTTACAGTTGAAGGCTCAGCAGGATTGCTTACAAGTTTTTCAATTGGTGGTATTTGGTCTCGTGAAAACATTGTTATAAAATCCAGTATAAGTGAATTTGCTGAAGAATCTATATTATGTCTTTCAAACTATATGTATTCGCCGCCGAAGCATTATAGTATAACAAACTTTGTCAGTAAGTTTAACATAAGACTTGTCGAACCTTCTTCAATGAAAGATGTTGTGCTACCTAAAGATGGAAAGGATGGACTCATTATTGAAATGATTTTAATTGCATATTAAATGAGCTTGTTCTTGAAGGTCATTCCATGATGAAATAACTGTTGTAGAAGATGTTAGCAATTGTTTCAGACATTTTGAAGCGTATAGATGATATAAGAAAGAAGTTAGATAGACCGCAAAGCGGTGAGGGCGAAGCCCGTGAGAACGCTTATGTTTCATTGACTTTCTCCAGTAACGAGAACTTTTATGAGATAATATTGAAGAGAGATGATTTTAATATGGTGTAAATGGTAGCTTGGGCAGCTTTAGGCGCAATGGGAACAAAAGCATTAGCATTTGGAGCAAAAGCACTTGGAGCTTATGACGCAGTAAATAAAATGAGTGGAGGAAGGGTTTCGAAGACATTAGATGCAAATAAAGGGAAGATTGAGGCTGGGTTGCAAAGAAGTTAAGATTAAATAAAATAGGGCTCATAAATAAAGCATCCAATTTAGTTGCGACTGAGTCAGAAAATGCTTTAGGAAAGGACGATGAGTTTGCAAAAACACGCAAAAGACTTTAATGACCAGATGAAAGGTGAAACAATGCATTTAAATAGAGTCGATGGAACTAAAGAAAATGTTCTTCTCCACCAGTAGTTCTTCCGTATGGTCCCTATGGAATGTATGGAAACCCTTACGAAAGACATTTGACCCATTGACTGGTGGAAGTAACTGGTATCATTACGGGCCGAAGAAGAAAGACAGTCAAGTGTGAGACAGACGTGAAGAAAGCAACTAAAAAGAAACCAAGGAAGAGAGTTATAAAGCAATGAATTCAACAGGGTGAAAAACCGGGTGAAAAAAGAGGTGAGATTTCACCACTTCACCTAAAATTTATTTTTGTGCTATGTTTCATACGCGTGAAGGTGTAATATCATTTATTTTTAAGTTTATTTTTTTAAAATTATTTTTTATTTTATTTTTATATAAATGACGAAAAACTATTGAGATAACAAACTACAACGGTCATGAGTTCAAGAATTTGTTCTTCGTTCCTCGTGAAAGTGGATGCAATTCAGACATGTTACTTTCAAGGAGAGCCTGTA